TAAAAATTACTACAGTAATTTCATATATTTCTGATAAGAGAGCAGTTCTTTTTCTGCAACTACAAATCTGTGATCAATGATAGGACTGGAAACTTGGAGAAAAACACATTTTAATTTTTTCTCTCATAGGAAAATACCATTAGTTTTGTGCAAAAAAAAAAAAATGCTGTAAAATAAATCCCTTAGATTAGTGGCTCAGAATATAATCATTTACAAAAACTTGGGTGGCATACACTCGTAAATTCTGTTGAACCCATCAAATGTTTTTATAACAGTGTAAGACAGAGTTTAAGAAAATTCACAGCATTGTCTGCCACATATTTTTCAAAATCTACTTTCTCCAACATTAAATTATTGAAATAGAAGTTTTATGTATACTTAATCTGATCATCAGGAAAAAAAAATTATGCTGCTATTCTTAATTTTCCCACAATTTCTATAATTTTTTACCTAAACTCTTATTGGGTTCCTAACTGTTATTAAGATGGGGGGAAAAAGACTATGGCTGTGACCCAAAAATAGAGTTGACAAAAATCACTGGAATTCCTGCTCTGTTGAGTGATTTAATTCAGTTCAATTTATTTGAAATACCACCTAAGCCGTGTCTCATTCCTATCATTATCCAAACATTTTACCTTTATATTAGTATTGAAATAATACATACTCTTGACTAAATAGTGCATAGTAATTTCTCTTTAGTTGAAACTCCCATTATTTTTTTCTATAAGGGTTTCTGTTCAGAATTTCTGAGTCACCCTCTGTAGCCCCCTGGAAATTTTTTCCTTTTTATATTAGTTACTAAGCTTTCTCTGCCAGTTGTATAGTTTCATTTTTTGAATGTATCCCCAGAATTTACAGTTAAGGAAAATCTGGATTTTGGTGCTTAAGTTATGTCGAATAACTCCAAATATAACCATTAAAAAGCCTTTATATGAAGACAGCAAAGTTGTTTCATTTAAGACAAAGTATTCCTAGTCAAAGAACTTGAAAATGAGAGATTCTAAAATATAGGGGTGATATAGTGTTTAATTTTACAATATACCACAATTATATGTGGTAAGTCCCCAATATGAAATATGGTGATATTTTAAACAAATTCAGTAACATTTCCTAATTATTATTTTATTATTCTAAGGTCTCTAGACTTGCTTTAAGCAAAACAATCTTTCTTATAGACCAAGTTATCCTCTCACATAGTTGATTTAATATCTAACAGATAAGCATTTCAAATCCGCAAATTCATAGCAATCTAGCTAAAGAAGAATTTTTGTTCCTTGTGTTCTAATTGCAGAACTTTCTATTTGTCAAAAAACTAAAATTCTGAAGATAATTCCTTATTAACTCAAATTTTCAATTAACTCATTCCTCCTGGATTTCACTTCAGCGACTATAAAGAACAATATTAAATAGACTTCTGATTTTTCCAAATTAAAATTTCACAAGAAAACAATGGATCCTATTGAGTATGCATAATGGAAAGTCAGAAAAACAAAAGTTTTACAGAAGAGAAAAGTCACAGTTATATGAAGGTTGATAATCAAGCTTTATAATAACTACCCAGTTTCTTTTCTTTTCACTGAATTTTAACTCTAATTTAACCTAGTGCCCTAGAATTCTCCAGTGGGAATGAACTTTAGTCACCATTGAAGCAACTGGCACTATAATGGATTCTTGTGTTGGTTTCTTCCTTTCCCTATCTCACTTCCTCACTTCTTACCAGTAAAAACTTGTTCACACTGGTGAACTCACTTCCCAAATAAACTAATGACATGAAATCATTGTCTCAGAATTTGCTCCTGATATAAGAGGCAGCCTCAATCACCATTGTATTCCATATCACCTGTTGACACCCCTTCTTCCACATATATATCCATTGTACTCTTAAGCTCCCCAGAACACTGAAATTTTAGAACCAAAAAGCAATCAGTTCTCCATGTCTTCCCCACAACCAATGCTTGCCCCTTCTGTATTAATGCTCTTAAGACTGATCTTTGTTAAGAAATTAAACAAATAGACTAAATCATGATGTTCATATGCAGCTTGTTCGGGTAGGAATAACACAGCAAGAAAATCAAATGTGTTCTCATTAGTACAAATATGATCAGAAGTCTTCAAAATGGTTCTGCTAAAAGGAGTAAAATGAATGGGAAATGTTTGCTGTGAGTACCCACATTGTAGACACATACAAGTATGTCACACACAGGTAGAGATACATGCGTTTAAGTGGTTATAATAAAATATTATATTTTTATAAGATGTGGAATTTCAGAGCATGAGTTGCTTATTACTCAGATTCTGTGCCTCATATCTCTGGGAACCAAAAAAAGAAGCAATCCATTCTTCCAAGAGTCAGAATGCTTTTATAATGATTATTTACAGAGAGGTAAAACAGCACATTTCACACATATGAACTCCTGAATGTCGGGCACTAAACCCTTGAACCAAGTGGTTACACTGTAATTAGAAAAGCAATGCATTAATGCAAGTTTAGCACAGGCAACAAAAGTTTCATTCATGAAAATGCCATGTGTTCTGACAGTATCTATTCTATTGCATTAAAATTTAAAAAAAAATTATTGGCATAATAAACAAGCTAGTTAACTCCTACTGGATCGTGTCTCATAAACTGAGAAATACTGTACTGCATTATCTCTAAAGTTTTTACAAATTTTATATTTAATTTTCAATTAATACAATGTTCTAAGATAGAAAATGTCACAGAGTATGAAGAAATAGAACTGCCTCCACTGGTTTGGTGGATAGTCACCTTTTTAAATAAAGAGAACAGTGATCCTGTTAACTTCTATGAATACCAAAAATTTTCATGAAGAACTCTGTATTCCCATTAGTGTTTATCAGTTCAAAAGAAAATTATAAGTACAAATCAAGTCAAACTTTTGCAGAAAAGTGTTTGCTATAAATGGTCTTTGTTATAAGTTTTTTTTAATAAAAAGAAAGAGAAAAATCAAAAGACCTTGTGCTAGATTTAGTATTCTCTGCTTTTTTATCTCAGTCAAATAACCGGTCTTTGGTAATAGGAAGACAAAAATACCTGACTGACAAAATCTTGCAGTGAATTATAGAGTAGAAAGTCTCTAGCATAGCCTGATGTTTCAAAACTCAGACCATCAAAGATAGAGAAGAACTTGAAGATATAAAAGGCTTCATGCATTGCAGACAGGGATAAAAATGGGTTTATCTTCTAGAGAACAGCAAGCTAGAAGGAATTAGTCACATTAAATGCATGCATACTTATGCTTAAATAATTCTAATCCTGGATACATGTTCCAAGGAAATTCTCCCAAAGGTCCCCAAAGGAGCCTATGCAAAATGTTCATCACAACCATTTCTGGAAGAGGGAGGTAATGTGAGACCACCAAGGAGCAGCAAGACAGGTGGAATGTGATATGGGCAAACCATGTGGCCACAGTCCACGGTACCATTACATAGTGAAACAATCCACGGTACCATTACAGAGTGATGTGGATACAGCTTAAATACCATATTGCAGAGCGGGAAAAAATAGCAATATATACAATGTCACTTACCTTCATTAAATACATATGCAGACAAAAACAGTGCACATCTTCCAAATACATATAAACAAAGGATATACATATAACACATAAGAATGTGTGCCCACAGCATAGAAATTGTTATAAAAGACAATCAATTGTACAATAAAAAAAATACACAGAAGGGACCAAACTTATGATAGACATCACTCTGGGAAGTGTGATCAACTCACTCTCTTATAACCAAGGTAAAAAAAAAAATGAATGATTAGACAAATGATTAAATAAATATGTTGTTTTTAGAATCAGATTGCCTGGATTTTGAATTTTGCCTATATTATTGACCACCTTACCTTTTGGAGCATGTTCTCACAAACATAAAATATGGATAAGACTACCTCATAGTTCATTGTGAAGTTTAAGTTAAATTCATGTGAAGCACTTGGTGTGGTGCCTGGCACACAAATACTAGAGATTACTATTATCATTCTACAGTGACTCACACAATTTAACAGGTTGATGGAGAAGTAGTTTTTGCTTAGAGGAGAGATGAGCAGAGAGCTTTATTAAGTTTCTGCTGCTCCTCACCACTGACAGATGAAATAATGAAAACTTTATATTTCCAAGTGCCAACTGAAAACTGACAAAGGAACAATCAAGATGGCGGGTGGAGAATGGAGGCGGAAAATTACCCTTCTGTAGGCAAATCTCTCCACTTTGCCCTGGGGTGAGTGTGGGGGTGCTGAAGCAGTGGTCTGAAGGAGTTCTGACTCACACAGAGCTGACTTCCAGGAATATACTACATCCAAGTGGTAACTACCAGCTGCAGACAGCTACCAGGAGCTCACATTCCTGAATTAATGTAGATTCTTCCTTAGTGTATATTGTCTAGACTCCCCAGCTGGGCAGAAAGCTATAAGAAGGAAACCACTTAGAGGAGACTAGGACAGACTATGGGGATGACAGCTGGGAAACCTAATATGACCAATATGGTGCGATTAGGGTGTGCATGGGGGTGAGAGCCCAGGATCATCATCACAGTGTGGGTTTGTTCTATGGTCCTTGATGCTGCCAAGATTATGAGTAGGAATTGACTGCAAAGTGGCCTTCATAGGAATCATAGGGAAGAGACAAAGAGGCAGTGATGTCTGAGATATTACAGTGACCTGAAGTTCAACATCACCGAGCTGCCCCCTCCAGTACATAGTCTCCCCTGGCAGCACAGAACCCCACCAGGACAGGAAAACAGTCCTGTTACATGAAATATCAACTTTTTCTTGTTCAAGAGCTCCCACAACGAACCCCTGAATATTAGTATTCTCTGAAAAAAAGCAGGGACTCTTTTTTTAAAGTCGGTCTTTTTTACATGCAAAAAAAAAAAAAAAAGCAAAAAAAATGCATTAACCCTGATTCAGTAACTTATATATGCATTAAATAAAACTAGTGTTGAAAAATAGTCACAACCACTCATCTATTTACCCATGAATCTTCTTTATTTGGCTGCTAAATATAGGGACACATTAGTATTGCTGTCAGCTTAATAGAAGGCATTAAAGGTACTAACAGTGGTGCAAGATGCTATAGGTAAATCTTTCCTATGCAGGGTGTTAGTAGAGAACTTCCATTATATGCCTGCAGGACACTTTTTTCAGATTCACCGCTAACTGCAGTTCATAAAGGGAACTCTGAGACTGAACAAAATAAAAATTAAATCTAGCAAGTGATTAGCACTGGCACTCCAAAAATCTTCAACACAGCCTGTGTTTTCAGTTTTCATTCCAACTTCATTGCTACAAAATAAAAGAAGATAGTTGTCAGATTGCTGGAGATAAATCTGTAAACATATGCCCCCAAACTTATACCTTATTTGGTCATAGCATTTCATAGAAAAAATGTTGTATAGTAGGAATATTTTGTGCAGTTTTACCCTCAGTGGCTGTTTTCTTGTTATAGAGTTAATGGCATAATGAAGACACACATCTGTACCTTCACTTCCCACTCTGACCTCTGGAGAGCTCAGCAGAGCAGTCAGGCCTCCTGTGAAGGGTTATGATGGATTTGAGGGGCCAGTGAAGTTAAGGAACAGCATTGCCACATCTCACCCACAACCCCTCGCTTTTCTAGCACTTGCTTCTTGCTCTCCCCTTTCTTTAGCATTGACTGGATCAGTTCCTAAATTGTAACCTCTAAAACAACGAGGTAAAGTGATCCAAGATTAGATTAAGTCCCATCTTTTACAAAATGGAACATTACAAAAGCCAGGCAAAGCAAATGAAACTCTTGCCTTTTTTTCATATATTAATTTGATTGGTTTTATAATGTAGATATGTAAGAGGGGAGCGATTCTAATAATTTATATATCTATCCAGTCTTTAGGTGTTCCAAGTTGATAGGGTTAGAGTCTGAGATAAATAAAATAAATGTAACCATCTAGAGATGGGTACTAGGAGTTTATGAAGTCAAAGAAGAAAGTATAAAAGAAAGCATCAGAGATGCAGCCAGAAGAGAAACTGAGTTCTAAACATTACTCAGATAGAATGTGACAGGATAACATGAATGGAAGGAAATGAGGATAACTTGGTGACCATTGATATTGCTTCTAAAATAGCTGGTAGAGAATAAAGATCATGTAGGCAATGCTATCATGTAGGCAACTCTCCCTGTTGTGTGCTGGCTTGGGTAAAGGGCAGAAGCAGTGGTCTTAGAGAGGGCTGTGGCTCAGAGGTGGATGTAAATGGAATGTGGGCTGTGAGCAAGGGGCAGGAAAGCAGCCTGCACCCCTGAGCATGGCAAGGCCAAGGGGCTAAAAGGGTAGAGAAACATGACCACCACATGTTATATGATTTAGGAGAAACTGCATTTCCTAGACTAGAAGAAAGGAGGTAGGGAACAAGCTATTAAAATGAGGGTAACTCTACTGATTTGTTCTGGTCATAGAATATCAACAATCAAGAAATAAGTGAGTTGCATCTTGGGTTCTCTAAAGTTTCAGAAGGAAAGGAGGAAATGATTAACTTACATTTCCTACTTTTTTTTTTTTCTAACAATAGTAACTACATTTATTTGAGTTTTCCAAATAGCTCCTTGGCCGGGGATCGAACTAGTGCTACAGTGGCTGCTGCAAGCTTCATAGGTTGCATCTTAACCCCTTGTGCCACCAGGGACGCCCAATGCTGGATATTTTATATGTGAAATACTTTACATGCCTAAAAAGAGATCTTCACCAGAAGCCTTTGATCTCACTCTAGGTAGAATGAAATTAAGGCTCAAAAAGATTAAACATCATGCCAACATTACAGCGTGTGAAATTAAACCTTAGTCAGTTCAATGTTTTCTATGTGTTTTTGTGGATACGATAGATATTCCTTTGTCCTAACCATTCTAAAACATATGTCTGACTTGTAAATGGTAAACTATCACCAGAAGTTTTTAAATACAAAATCTATGAGGAAATACCTGTAGACAGGATTACAACATTAAATAAGAACCCCAAAATACTCTTCAAATACTAGCTTTTCTTAATTAAATCAGATAAAGAGGAATAGGTAGTTCATCCTCTGACATCACGCTGGCAAACTCAGCACAATTTCTCAGGTCTTCCTGAACCCACTGGCAGATCAATGTCATTTTTGGCACCTGTATTCAATAGCTAGTTTGAAAGGATGCACTATGCTATGAGAGGTATAACCATGGTTTTCAACATTTTGTGAAGTTTTTACTTTTCTTTCCCAATATCAATATAGGTAAGAGCTAAATCACTTGGGAAGAACAAAGGCTGACATTAAAGAAAGATGAAGGTCACTAATAAAATAAACAAAAAATTCTTATTATCAACTTAGCATACTGGCAGTTAAGGCTCAGAAATTTATCATATTTCCAACTGAATAACTTACTTATTTTAGAAACAAGAAAATATAAATAAGAAAGAAAAAGAAATGCAGAAGATCATAATTTTAAAGGGAACCTAATTCTATTTTTTTTTTTTTTTAGAGTTAGCTTTGGGTAATAAGTGATATAGTGTTGTGAAACTTTAATCCATTATTACAGCAAGCATTTTTTTCTTTAAAAGAATGTGCTGTGTAAATTGATTTTTCATTCCCTTTTAATACAAAACCAACTCTGCAAACTCTTTTCTGCCAAATGAAAGCAAAATGATCTACATAGATGTTCTTATAAATATGAAACCAGACTTTATGCTTCCAGAACAAAATGCTATTTCCAGAAAATACTTCCAATCATATTAATTGCTCCAAGTTTATTTTTCCTGGAAGAACTTTTAATGTATTTTGTACATCTATGTAACTATTAACATTGGAATAAAAACACAAGAACTACTATAAAAATTCATTATTCATAAGCCTGAAGCTGTAAAACGTTTGGTAGCAAGGTCCTGGGAAGGCAAGATAATAGAGAATGCAGGTATAATGGATTCTAGGGGGCAACAGTGAGCAAAGGCCCCTGCCCAAAGGCACAACATTAAATCAAGGGACAAGAACATTTCACTTATAATCAGGGAAATGCAAATCAAAACCACAATGAGATACCACCTTACACCAGTGAGAATGGCACACATTAAAAAAACAGGAAACAACAAATGATGGTGAGGATGTAGAGGAAAAGAAACTCTCCTACACTGCTGGTGGGAATGCAAACTGGCCCAACCAGTATGGAAAGCTATGTGGAGGTTCCTCAAACTGCTAAAAATGGAGCTACCAGATTACCCAGCAATTCCACTCCTAGGCATCTACCCAAAGAACACAAAAACATTAATTCAAAAGGATTCTTGCACCCTTATGTTTATTGCAGCACTATTTACAATAGGTAAGATAAGAAAACAACCCAAATGCCCAAAAATAGATGACTGGATCAAAAAGATGTGGTGTATATACACGATGGAATATTACTCAGCAATCAAAAATGATAAACTCATGCCATTTGCAGCAACATGGATGGAGCTAGAAGGGGTCTAGTGAACTAAGCCAGAAGAAAAAAATATATATTGGATGGTTTTCACTTATAGGAAGAATACAGAGGAACCAAATAAGGGATCAGGAAAAAATAATTATAATAATAACAATAATAAATAAATAATAGCAGACAATAAATCAGAGACATTCTGCAAGAAAGGGAGAGGCAGAGGGATGAAACAGGGGAGGGAAAGGCACAAGGGACTATGGTGATGGTTCATGGGTGAATTGGGGGTGGGAATTTTATGGGGATACACTTGAGAGGAGGATGTATACAGCATACATTGTACAAAAAATGAACAATGATGTAAAAAAATTTATGTAATAATAAAAATAACATTTACTGTCACATAACCTGAGCTTCAAATAGTTGTTAACCCTTATCTTAGGATTTTGTTTGTTTATCTTGAGTGTCTAACACACAGAGGAATGTAAGTCCTTCCAGCTTTTGGCTTCTGCTGGGTTTTACCAGGACTCAGTACTACAAGAGTCACCATTATCTATTGAGTTGACTTTAAAGCAGAGGTCCCAATATTGTCAAACTCCCACCTCACCTCCAATAAATTCAACTGAGTTCCTAGAGGAGAAACATAAACAAAACTTGTTTCTTTTAATCTCCTCCGTCAAAGTCAAACTCTCTCAGATTTCAGGGCTGCCCCTTGGTGCCAAGTGTAAGGACAAAAAGAAATTAAAAACAAGAGGTTTAATATTTAATATTCCTTATTGAAAACTAGGGAAGAGATTCTCCCTCCCTCCTTGTTCTTAGAGTCTTTACTTTAAAAAGATTCTCATTGTAAACAGGTTCTCATTGCTTTAAAAAGGATATAAATGCTTTTGTCAACTAGAAGGGCATTTTGTCAGCATTATCACCCAGGAAAATTTCTCAGGACTTGAGAGTTTTCCTTTGAGTGTAAACCTCCAAGGAATACAACACACTTCTCTCCTAGTTTCTGAGGGTAAGAGCCTACCTAACTTTACTTCATACCAGACTCCAAGTTATAAAATTGCCTCCTGTCATAAAGATATGGAAGTTTGTATTTCCTCAGTGTAAAACCAATTAACTAACACAGATGGACACATTAGTTACCAGGTGATTTAGGATGAACTATATGTGATAAGTGATATTGTCAAATCTTCTTACTTGGGATTGAAATAAATTAACGTTTATCTGGGGAACATGTATGTAATGGGTTTTATCTGCTTCAGCAATATGAAAGGTGAGATTTCTTCTTGTCTTAGCAATCTCTTTTTTAAAAAACGATTTATTTATTTATGCACACAAGAACTGGGGTACAAGCCAGAGGTGTAGGGGGGTGAGAGGATTCACCAGAGACAGAGTGGGGAACAGAACAGGCAGGCTGACTGAAATACACTGCTGAGGGGAGCAGCAGGCGAGACAGGAGGGGTCTGCGCAACCATGTGGGTCAGCTCGGCCTGGGATCGAACTTGTGCTGCAGTGGCTACAGATAGCTTCATAGTGCTGTACTTAACCCCTTGCGCCACCAGGGAGGCCCATGTTTTCTTTCTCTACTAGCTTTGTGAAGAGAGATTCTGGATTGGCAGAATGGTTCCTTTAAAAAAAAATCACATTTCCCCAGCAGAGATCAGGGGCTTACAATATAGGCAGGTCATTTTGATGGAGTCCCCTTTAGCCAACTCTGGAGCAGGAAAGTCCTCTTTATTTCTTTTCTACTTGGATGGCTCAGAAAGGTATTCCACTCAGCTGCCATATTATGTATCTTTAAAAGACAAATTTATCCTGCCCTTCCAGCCAGGTGTCTATCAAAGATTTGAATCTTCTTTCAATCAGCATTTAGTAATAT